AATCGGTTTCTAACACTTGAAAACTGTTTTCAAACGTTGATTGGCTGCCGTAGCCTAGCTTTAGAGTAGTCAAAGTAATAGAGACCTTGGCTGCAGTAGTCTAGCTTTAGAGTAGCCGTAGTCTAGCTTTCAGAGTAGCCAAAGTAATAGAAAACTGGGCTGCTGTAGCCTAGCTTTAGAGTAGGCAAAGTCATAGAAAACTTGGCTGCAGTGTCTAGCTTTAGAGTAGCTAAAGTAATAGAAAACTTAAAGATCTATGACCGAATTACGATAGCTTAGACAAGCTTCAATTTGGCCAGTTTTTGATTGCTAATTGTGATTAGCTTTTGAAATAGTTAGTTCTTCAAAGTTAGCAAGCTTGTGTTATGAAAAATAATTTGAAATGAGCTGAAGAATGCTTTTTGTTACTTCTAAGTAGTCAAAATTTCAAGTTTCACCTGTAATACATAAAAATTCAGGTAAATAATCCCTAAAAGGTGTGAAAAAGAAAAGTTTCATTAATTATTAATCAAAAAGAAAAGTTTAGTTTAGCCAAAATTAAGGCTAGAAAAAAAATGAGATTAGGATTGTAAAGTGAAATGGAATTGGGTGAAAATTGGGGTAAAAATTGGGGTGAAAATTATTTTCTTTCTTTTTTTCTTCTTTCTTTCTTTCTTTCTTTCTTTCTTCTTTCTTTCTTTCTTTCTTTCTTTCTTTCTTTCTTTCTTTCTTTCTTTCTTTCTTTCTTCTTTCTTTGAAAAAGGGCATTGCATGAACACTTCTAAAGGAAATTAAAATTTTTTTCTCTGAATTCTAAGAGAAATTACGAATTGAATTGAGGAAAAGATGAATTTCTGACCTTGAGAGCAAAGATTTCTTTTAGTAAACCAATTTGAATCTTATTTGAATAATAAGTTGAAAGATGATAGTAAAAAGTAATGAGAACAAGAGGTAAAGAACTAAGAAAGATTTCTAGAATTCTAGAAGTTGATTGAAACCAATCTTGAAAAGGTTGAAAGAAAAAACCTTAAGATAGATAGCATTGTTCTCCAGGTTTGGCTACTGTTTTAGGACAATTTGTGGTTTTTCTGGTTGTAGAATTTGTTGCAAAACTACAGCTAAATTCAAGAATCGGGCAAGATTGGCAATCTTTGTTTGATTGATCTGCAAAATAAATTAAAGAGAGGACAAGAGGTAAAGAGGTAAGAAAGATTTCTAGAAGTTGATTGAAACCAATCTTAAACTCAAGCTCAATCCTAAACTAAAGAAAAAAAAACTCAAGATAGATAGCATTGTTCTCCAGGTTTGGCTATGGCTTCAGGACAATTTGTGGTTTGTTTCGTTGTAGAATACAACGTTTTTCCAAATCCAAATCCAAAGATACAAATACTTTAGATGAATCAAAAAGATTTTCATGAAACAGCAATGAGAACTGAGAAATGTCATGAAGAATACTCATCTTCGTCTTTTCTGAGAAAACGAAATAAGGCCCTAAGTTCCTTTCTTCATTTTTCCCCTTCTCAAAAAGCTTTTACGCAAAAAAAAATTGGCACTCTTTCTTCAAGTGTAGACCTTCTTTTCTTTTTTTTTCTTTTTCTTTTTCCTTTTTCAGAACTGGACATATTATAAACAACACTTATTCTTTTGGATTACTCTAAATTTCGATGTTTTGATGAAATTCGAGGTGTTTATCAGTGTTTATTGTTCATTTTTTTGAATCAATCTTCAAATTTTTGAGAGTTCAGTCAGATTGGAAATAAGCTTTTCAAAATCTCTTGAAAGTATTTTGTGGAAAGTAGAATGAATTTACTTTTTTGTGCTTTCATTTTCACCAGTTGCCAAGTGGGATTGTCTAGAGGTAATCTTTCAAGGTCCTTGAAAATTCTCAGCTATTGATCCAATCCAATCTAATCGTTTACCGCGTACTGTTTACTGTTTTATTTTCGGTTAAAGCTTTCATTTTAACAATTTTCTTCATCAAATCTTGAAGCTCTAGTGAATTCTTGACGTTATTTTTGTAGCTACCCTTATATAAGATTGGTAAAAAAGAAATGTTAAAAGTTTTTCGTTAAAAGTTTTTCGTTAAAAGTTTATTTTATTATAAAAACAAGATAACAATACATTAATCCAAAAGGTATTCGTCATCTGCATCAATGACTTGTCGCCAACGTTCACGCAGAGAATGGATGCCCTACTTGAAGAACTCGACCGGCTGCGACTCGAAGAAGTTGGACCTCGTCGTGCATTGACCGGAGCAGATGGTAGTCGGAAGGCGCCAAGTCTGGGCTGTATGGCGGATGAGGCAGGACTTCCCAGCCCATTTCTTCAATTTTCTGCTGGGTGATTTTTGCGACATGCGGCCGAGCGTTGTCGTGGAGGAATTTGGTCGACGCCGTATCCACACCTTGACGTCGCAGCGCCTGGTCCACGCGGTCCAATTGGCCTTAGTAGAGGTTCGCCGTAACTGTTTGACCGTAACTGTTTGACCCGAATCCAGAACCTCAAAGTACACCAGGCCTTTACTGTTCCACCAAACACAAAGCATCACCTTTTTTCCGTGGATGTCCGGTTTTGGAGTCGATTTTTGAGCTTCACCGGGGTCCAACCACTGCCGCTTTCTTGCTGTGTTGTCGTATTGGATCCACTTCTCATCCGACGTAACAATGGAGTCGAAAAACCCACTGTTCTTGGCGCGGTTAGTGAGAATTCCGGCGATTGCGATGCGTGTCGCCTTGTTTGCGTCGGATAGCTTATGCGGTACCCATTTTCCGCATCTATTCGTCTTGCCCATGCCATGCAGATGGTTCTCAATGGTGACATGAGTGCAGCCGAACTGTTCTGCCAGGTCGCGAGTGGTTTGGCGTGGATCCGACTCAATGGCTTCCTTCAATGCGTCGTTGTCGATGACTTGAGGTCGACTCCCGTGTTTTTGGTCTTCCAAGCTTTCGTCACCGTCTCGGAAGCGCTGGAACCATCGTTTACACTGACTTTCAGATAGAACATCTTCGTCAAACACTTGAGATAGAGCGCGATGAGCTTCAGCAGCCGATTTGCCTTGCTTAAATTCATACCACAAGCAGGCCCGCAAGCGAAATTTTTGGTTCGACATTTTCTAAACACTCTTTCTTGTAAAAAAACAAAGTAAACATAGACAAATTATATATCAAACGATGCGCAAGAACACGCTCTTTCCAATAGAATAAACTATTTTAAAAAAATCTTTTACTGTGAATAAAATACAAATCAACAAACACGACGCTCATTTCTTTTTATCAACCTAATATATTACATACATTATGTCGTGTTTCTTTTTATCGGCCCTTTTCGTGTTGCATGAATGAATGTGCATGGATTCATGTGTATTAATCTTAAATCTAGCGCACTTTATTTCATGTTCTGAATAAAGTATCTATACATAAAATTCATTAAATGATGAGAAAAATGATTCTTCGCGATTTGCGATTTTTTCATTTTTTCTTATCAGCTTTTTTTTATTGTCAAAAATTTATTCTAAAATTTTCCACAAAAGAAAAGACAATCAGATTTAATTTTTTTTTACGATAATACATCTGAATAAACCGGAAACTTTTCAAAAACAAAAAAAAACAAATTCAATAAAGAAAACGGAAAAGAAAAGAAAAAAAATTAGAGAAGAAAAGAAAAGTGAGCATATTTTTGCATGAAATTTGCTAAATTTTATGAAAATAAATCGAGAATTCGAAGAAAATTTTAGGGGAAATTTGAAAAGAAAAAGAAAAACAAAGAATAAGAATGTAATAATAAGATTTTCATGTCGTTTTCGCACTTTATTTCTTTCTAAATAATGTATTTATATAAGAATATAATAATAAGAATATAATAATAAGGATATTAAAAAAAGAATATAATTAAAAAGAATATAATTAAAAAGAATATAATTAAAAAGAATATAATTAAAAAGAATATAATTAAAAAGAATATAATAAAAAGAATATAATAAAAAGAATTTTATATTTTAAAAATCTTATTGTCTTTCTTTATGTACCGTACCGAAATCACAAAAAGAAAAAAAAAGAAAAAAAGGAAAAAGAAAAGCCTTTTTGAAACGATTTTTTTTCTTTCGAGAAAAAAAAACTCAAGCAAATCTAAAGGAAATTGATTGAAAAAAAAAAGGAAAAATAGGCACAAATCTCGAATTGATTTTTTTGATTTATGGGAAATTTGAAAGAAAAATTTCAACTTTTCGAACAAACAACGAACAAACGTATCGATGCTTTAGATCTAGTGGCTCTTTGCCGTAAGTAATTGGCTTATTGATTTCAGTATGTATTGTATGATTAAGTATCACTGTGCATTTCTCTATGATTTCTTTCACTTTATCGTTTGAATAAAGTATTATTATTATTAACAACTTGTGCACAAAGTACGAACAAAGTATGCATAAAGTACGCACAAAGTACGCACAAAGTATGCATAAAGTACGCACAAAGTACGCATAAAGTACGAACAAAGTACGCATAAAGTACGCACAAAGTACGCACAAAGTATGCATAAAGTACGCACAAAGTATGCATAAAGTACGCATAAAGTACGCATAAAGTACGCACAAAGTACGCATAAAATACGCACATAGTACGCACAAAGTATGCAGAAAGTACGCAGAAAGTACGCAGAAAGTACGCAGAAAGTACGCAGAAAGTAAACGCTTACAAGGTATGCTAAACTTAACTCCCTCTGGAAGAAGGGAGATCAAGTGTGGTGCAATGGTTAGCACAGTTGCCCGGTAAGCGAAAGGTCGCCGGGTTCGAGTCCCGCGCAGGTTTTCTATCCTAGTTCCAACTCTGTTCCAACTCTAGTCAACAATTAAGCTCTCAAGTACTTTGTGCTTTCATAAACATGACTTTCTGGCGAATGAAAAAGCAATTCTACAGTGCTCAACTGGTTTTTGTTAAGGTTAAATAAGGTTTTTGTTTATCAACCAAAAAACAATTCCCTACTCAAAGTTGAAATTTTTCCTTGACTTTTATTTTCATTTTCTTTCAATCTCTGTGTTGATCGTAGCTCAGTTGAGCCATGTGTCCAACAACAAACACTCCAGCTGTCACCAAAAACACCGCCAGAGTGAAAAGGCTAAGAAGAATTCGATCCAAAACCTGGAATTTGCAAAATTTGATAAAATTTGATAAAATTTTGACAAAATAAACATTTTTACATCCTTTTCAGCTAAAAAAACGCGATTTTAAACAAGTTTTGAACAAGTTTAAGCCTTGTTAATAATTCTATTAAAAAACTATGCTAAATTTCTGATTTCTTATGAAATTAGTTTAGAAATTGTTTTAGAAATGACTTTAGAAACTTTAGGAAACTTTAGGAAACTTTAGAAAAACTTATATAAAAAAACTTATACTTTATCTAACGTTTGCAAGCGACTCTGCCCTATTTGACCGCCTTCTTTTCCCCCCCGCCCACTCTGCTCGGTGGCCGAACGGTTAGCGGGCTGGTCTCTCGATCGAAACCCCCCGGCGGGTTCGAATCCTCTCTGTGAAAATTCACATGCGCTTCTCATGAGAGCGATGTGTTGATTAGAAGAGGTAAATAAAATAGAAAATTCCCTATCATAGTCCACGCCTTGATTCACATAGAGTAGTGGTTCCAAACGGGAAACAAAAGATTTTTCGAACTTTAAAACTTCTTTTTCTTATTTCAAAACTTTAGAAAAACTTATACTTTATCTAACGCTTGCAAGCGACTCTGGCCTATTTCACCGCCTTCTTTCCTTCACCGCCTCACCGAAAGATCCCTATCATAGTCCACTCCTTGATTCACATAGAGTAGTGGTTCCAAACGGGAAACAAAAATTTTTAGCTTTTCAAACTTTAAAACCCCTTTTTCTTATTTCAAATCACAAACCGTGGCCAAAAATTCCCATTCAAGAGAGCATTGTCGTTGTCGTCGCATACTATCAACTTCTTTGTTTTGCGGGAAAACAGATGAACGTCTAGAGGTGGATCGAGAAGCTGAAATCGAGAAGCTATAGGCTGATAAGTGAAAGAAAGCTCTACTTTATAGTTACTTAATAGTTACTTAATAGTAATTCGTTATCTAAAGCTATTTTTTAGTATCTACATCTAAATCAATGTTTAGTTAGTGATATGGCAATTCTAGAGGTTAAGCAAGACGAAATTTGACTTGTTCTTTGTTTTCTCTAGCATATTAGACTCCTTAGACTGCTTTCTCTAGCATATTAGACTTCTTAGCAAATGAGGAAAGTGTGCTAGAAAGCTAGCGTTTATGCAGAGCAAAAAGAATGCGAAAATCTGCTGGATTACTTTATTTTCAAAATAAAGATCTCAACGGAAAACGATTTTGTGAAGATTTGTGAAGAAATTTTGTGGCTAATGCGATGCAAAAGTTCCCCAAAATGTAACAAAAATGAAAGCATAGCACTCTATTTTTTTTTGATGCAAAAGGCTAAGCCAAGCTGGGCTTTTTCACTTGAAACCAACTCCATCTTATAGAGTCGCCTATGGGGACCTCGAATTCGTTTTTCGTTTTTTTGCAGAACGCTTCGCAAACCCGAGATATTTGACTTAGAAAATCACGTTGTTAGCGAGCGTTGAGCTCCTTATTAGGTCGTCAAACGCCGCCCGAAAACCTCTTTCGATAGTCTAAAGGATAGTCTTCTAGACTAGCGAACCTATTACCTACCGTAAACACTGTAATAGTACCCCAGCCCCCACGTACAGTCGCGTAGTCACAAAAGTTTTTTAGTATTTCATTTTTTTCAAAGCGCCCGTACTTCGAAAAGATTCGTCTTTGGTATCAAAAAATAGCTCTGAATTCCAGCTATTTTTTGATACCTAAGCGCACGTTGTAGCATAAACCAGTGTCGAGAAAAACTCGTTCAAAGCTAGACTATGCAACACTCCGCACCGTCATTATGGGGATGGGGTACTATTACAGTATTTATGGTAGGTTTCCATAAAGTTCGAGTCCAACTCTCGCCGACCTTGTTTGCTTTTTTAAGAAAAAACTGTTTCCTTACGTATTTGCAATGAATACTTGACTCGAGTTTTATGCATCGCTTTCTGTAACTTCAATTCTGTTCATTTCAATGTAACTTCTGTAACTTCAAAAAATAATTCCCTAAAGCTCAAACTTTTCAAAGTATTAGTAGATAAGTATTGAAATTTATTGGATAATTTATTATTAATAATTTATTATTGGATAATTCATTTATCCAACATTTCTGAAAGCTACAGAAAACAGTGCATTTGCATTTGCTTGCTTTTGTGCACGTTTATGTTGTACCAACAAAAGCAAGCAAATGCTGTAGGTTCGCCGTTTTCCCTCATTTTCTCAGTCAGTCAGTTGTCAGGTGAGGCTTCTTAAGAAGTCCGAAATTTGGATATCTCACATTCTGCAAAAACTAAAAACGGACTTGAGATCCCCATAGCCTTTTCTATAAGATGGACTTGATTTCGAGTCAAAGCTTGACCTGCCTTTTCCAGCTTGACCTTGGCCAGCTTGGCCAGCTTGACCTGCCTTTTCCAGCTTGACCAGCTTGACCTTGGCCAGCTTGGCCAGCTTGACCTGCCTTTTCCAGCTTGACCTTGGCCAGCTTGACCAGCTTGACCTTGGCCAGCTTGGCCAGCTTGACCTGCCTTTTCCAGCTTGACCTTGGCCAGCTTGGCCAGCTTGACCTGCCTTTTCCTTGTTAGATTTTGGATCTTTATTACCCAATTCAATTAAATTCAACCCGATTTTTCATTGCAAATAGGTGGGGAAAGAGATTTTTTTGAAGAAAAGAAAACAAAGTTTGGCGAGAGTGGGACTCGAACTCGGGGACAAGAATGCAACAGGTTCGGTAGTCTAGCAGACGAACTTCTTAAGAAGCCTCACTTGACAACTGACTGACTCCGTGCTCTAGTATCCACCAGAGCACAGAAGCAGTTGTTTGGGGCGCGTGTGACGGCTTGTTAAGGAGCTCAAGGTCATTTTCTCAGTCAGGTGAGGCTTCTTAAGGTGTCCAAAATTTAGATATCTCTCGTTCTGCAAGAACTAAAAACGAATTCGAGACCCTATGGTTGACTCTATAAAATGGACTTGGTCTCGAGTCAAAAGATCAGCTTGATTCGGTGCCTTTCCCTTCTTAGAGGTACAAGCTTTCAGTTTCAGCTTGGCTTAGAGAGAAGTGGGTTGAAAAAAGGTTAACAAATGGATTTTGCTGAGCTTTTGGTGGTTGGGAAAGATGGATTTCCGTCAAGACGGGCTATGCATTTTAAAAACTCATCAAAAAAACAAAGTTCAAGCTCGGTGTATGCTTAGAAATTACTTGCGAACAGGAAGTTCTTTTAGAGAAATTTAAATCAACTCTTCAAGAAAAGGGTTGATTTTTGGTGTTCTGTTAGTAAAAATGTTCCTCTTGAGTTGTATTGGGTTGGTGAATTGAAAACTGCCGGCTATTGTCATATGCCACAGTTTGAGCACTTTCTTCAAAAGAAACCCATTTTGGTGTCAATGGAAAAGTTGTAGAGAATCAAAAATCAAGCTTACACCCAAATTTTCAGAACGATTCAAAAACTGGTTCTCAAGAAATGCCAAATTTACGAATTTTCACAAAACTTGCATTTTAAGCGAAACTATTAAGTGTATCTTTTTGGAAATTTGGCTATAAGCCTAATTTTTGATTCTCTACAACTTTTCTATTGACACCAAAATGGGTTTCTTTTGAAGAAAGTGCGGACATCCCCTGGACATCTCCAGTCCTCCATTTTTGAGTCTCACACTTGTCTCACACACAAACCAGAATCCTACTACGAAAGAGGAATCCGCAAATTGCCTGTAAAATGGGCAGAAGTCGTCAATAATAATGGAAATAATTTGGAATGAATTGGTGGTTTTATATTGAATAAATTTGAGTTAAAAGTCCCGCAGTTTTCAATTGACCAACCCAATATATTTCTAAAAAGTTTCTAAATAGAAAAACTCCCATAACCTTTCTTTCAGATTTCTTTACTTAACACATTCACTATGCCAGCTTTTAGACAAGATTACGATAGTTTTCAAAAGTTAAGACGTTTTTGGTCTTTATAGAAATCGAACTTTTTTTGCATACCGTAAATACTGTAATAGTACCCCACGCCCATAATGACGGTGCGGAGTGTTGCGTAGTCTAGCTTTGAACGAGTTTTTCTCGACACTGGTTTATGCTACAATGCACGTTTAGGTATCAAAAAATAGCCCTGAATTTCAGCTATTTTTTGATACCTTAACGCGCATTGTAGCATAAACCAGTGTCGAGAAAAGCTCGTTCAAAGCTAGACTACGCATCACTCCACACCGTCATTATCGGGCTGGGGTACTATTACAGTATTTACGGTATGTTTACTGTTTAAAAGCTTAATTTAAAGAAAGTCAGATAGTTAGAAAGATAGTGAGTGAGAGAAAGTACCGAGCACAGTTGTTATCGCGTTTTCCCATAGATTCGATCCACGTCGACTCCTCGCTGTGGTTGCCGCCGGTGTCGTTGTGCCGGAGACGTCTGAAATGGGAAACGGAGTCGATGCAGAAGCAGAAACCCTCTGCTCCACGGTGCCACTACCCGATTGAGGCAAAACGCCAGCTGAGCGAAGTGAGCCGAAAGCGCCTGATGGAGAGCCGCTCAAACGGCGAAACCCTGCAATCACATTGCACCAATTTTGCAAGAGAAATGCAAAATTTTTGGAAATGAAATAAAAAGTGCTGGTGACAGTGTGATTACAAGACAAAAAAATGGAGAAAAAACAGAAGAAAACAGAAGAAACAGAAGAAACAGAATGGGAAAAGTGAAAAAAAAAAAACAAAACTTCAAATTAGCCATTAGCACATTCGACTGCGAGCTGGGGCATTTTGCGCTTGCAAACGCACATTGACTGGCACACTAGAAAAGAGCAAGTGTGCCAGAGGGTGAGCGTTTCTCAAAGCACAAAGAATAAAAACAAAAGTCTGGTGAACATACCAATCATCTGAATCGAATGGCGTTTATCGATCGGCTGTTGGATTGAGGATTGAGCTGTGCCCGGCACTCGGAGACTGTTCTCACTGATTCTGAAATCATACTTATGCACATTTTTTGTAATTTTAACTGTTTCTGTTGAGAATGGATGGGTTTTTAATCAAAAAGGTTAAAAAATGATTAGTTAGAGGCGGGCTCGAACCCGGACCATGCGGTCGAGACCGCCGAGCATGAGGCCGATGCTTTACCAATAGACCATAGGGGCCGTTTGACCCGGGAGGTCAGGGGGCTCTCAAATTGGTTCCAGCTATCTCCAACTATCTCCAACTATCTCCAGCTGTCTCCAACTGTCTCCAACTATCTCCAACTATCTCCAGCTGTCTCCAGCTATCTCCAGCTATCTCCAACTGTCTCCAACTGTCTCCAACTGTCTCCAGCTGTCTCCAGCTGTCTCCAACTGTCTCCAGCTGTCTCCAGCTGTCTCCAGCTGTCTCCAGCTGTCTCCAGCTGTCTCCAGCTGTCTCCAGCTGTCTCCAGCTGTCTCCAGCTGTCTCCAGCTGTCTCCAGCTGTCTCCAGCTGTCTCCAGCTGTCTCCAGCTGTCTCCAGCTGTCTCCAACTGTTTCTAGTTGACTTACCTGCTTTGTACTGGTTGATGTTTGTTTTCTTTGCCTTCTTTGCCTTCTTTCAGCACCAAGAAACTTCCATTTGTTCCAATCTTTTTGTCGATCATCTTTCGCCCGTTTCTTCTTCGCCAAGTGTCCCGAGGGTGATCCTAAAATGAATTTTGGTTGTAAATCTAATATTCAAAGCTCAAATAGCTCAAATAGCAATAGCTGAGAGTTCAAAAAGCTGAGAGAAAGGCGGGCTCGAACCCGGACCATAAGATTGAGGCTGCCGAGCATGAGACCACCGCTTTACCAATACACCATGAGGGCCGTTTTATTCGAAGCTCAAATAGCTCAAATAGCTTGCACAGTTCTAAACTTGGCAAAGGCAAAGCTAAAGCCTTTTACAATTGATACTAAAAATAAGTACCAAACTGTACTATACTTTTATGTACTGTACTATACTAAATGTACTGTACTTTAGTAGTACTAATAGCTAGTTTATTTCACTTATTTTTCGCCCTTTCTTTCTTTCAACTTACATCAAGATCTTCCCAAAGTTTCTTCAGTGTCGGCGGCACATCCAACCAGAAGAGTGCTCTCAAGAACGTAAAGAAGCAATATCTAAAAGTTTCAAGATGATTTAGAAGCTTATTGCTAAGCTGACCTGACGAAGATGGGTGGATTCTTTCCAAATTGTCGCCGTCCTTGAATCGAGAGAACGATTGATGTGAGGAAAGTGCCGATAGAGACAATGATGATGATCGATAAGTAGAACCAAGCTGAAAGTTTTATTACAAATCTCCACAAATATCTGATTTCAAATGATCTTTCAAATGCTTTCAAATACCAAATAAAGCTTGACTCAACAGTTGGCTAGGCCTGTAGTTGGCTAGGCCTGTAGTTGGCTAGGCCTGTAGTTGGCTGGGCCTGTAGTTGGTTAGGCCTATAGTTGGCTAGGCCTATTTGCTCAGAGTTGGCTCCGATTTTCTTTTTGGATTATCCAATCAACCTCTACTTGGTATCATTTGAAAGCCTAAAATGTTCTCTGTAAAATGATATAAAAAGTTAGCAATAATATTGTCTCTAGATAAAGTTCTAGGCTTTCAAAGCGTGACGCCTCGTTCAAACTACCCAGAAACTACGCAAGAACCGAATCTTTTTGTTCAAGAGTAGTTGTTAGACTATGAAAATCTCTACTGAATGAATTTAGGTGAAGTTAGACTTATCAAATTCTATGCTAGTTTTAAGATTGCCTTAGACTCTACTATGTAAGACTGCAAGACTTATACGCTACTATGCAAGACTGTAAGACTTAGACTCTACTATGTAAGACTTAGACTCTACTATGCAAGTCTGTAAGACTTTGTAAACTCTTACCTATTAAAGGTACAAATTCGGAAGTGGTAGGCATTGCGTCAGAAACCATCAACATCAAAATAGACATCGCGAGAAGAGTTGTAATACCTGAACAGGTTCAGATTTGCAGTTCAGTTCTTTCTTTCCAAATAGGTACTATAAGGAACCAAATCGGAACTATAAGGAACCAGAGAGGAACCAAATCGGAACCAAATAGGAAGCAAATAGGAAGCAAATAGGAACTATAAGGAACCAGAGAGGAGCCAAATAGGAACCAAATCGGAACCAAATAGGAACTATAAGGAACCAAATCGGAATCAACTAGGAACTATAAAGAAACAAATAGGAAATAAATAGGAATCTGATAGGAAACAAATAGGAAACAAATAGTGCAGTTCTTTTAACCAAATCGATAAAAACATTAATCAGATCAGAAGAAATCATACCCAAATTGATTTTCTCCTTTCGATCATCATCGGTACTAGCCGGTGTAAAGAATCCAGTAATCGAAACAATTGTAATGATCGACGTGGGAATGATGAGATTCACGATATAATATAATGGTTTCCGTCTGATCACTAATGATGCCTGAATTGAGATTGAGTAGTGAAAGATCTCTTGAACTTGAACTTGAAGATCTTTACCTACCTGTAAGATCACCCACGGCTCAGCACAGCATGCATACTTGTACTCGTGACGATGGATTTTGAAAGAGACCACATCCCATTCCTCGTTCGGGATGAAAGATTTCAAGTTTACTTCAGAGTCTGCATAGTAGTCTAGCGCTGATTTACTGTTTGTCCAAGATGAGATCGTCAAAGTACAATTCTGCTGATCATACGGGAAATAACTGAAAATGGAATTGGTGAATGTTATGATGATGACGATGTTGATGACGATAAAAGAAATGAAAAGATTTTCTTGAACCATTTAGTAGATCTTTAAATATACAAATAATTGAAGGGCAAGTTTATTGCCGGCTATGTTTACTATCGGCTAAGTTTACTATCGGTTTAGTTTACTGTCGGTTTAGTTTACTATCGGCTAAGTTTACTGTCGGCTATGTTTACTATCGACTAAGTTTACTATCGGCTAAGTTTACTATCGGTTTAGTTTACTGTCGGCTAAGTTTACTGTCGGCTAAGTTTACTGTCGGCTTAGTTTACTATCGGCTAAGTTTACTGTCGGTTTAGTTTACTGTCGGGTTAGTTTACTATCGGCTAAGTTTACTGTCGGCTAAGTTTACTGTCGGCTAAGTTTACTATCGGCTATGTTTACTATCGGCTATGTTTACTATCGGCTACGTTTCTGTCGGCTATGTTTACTGTCGGTTTGGTTTACTGTCGGTTTAGTTTACTGTCGGCTAAGTTTACTGTCGGTTTAGTTTACTGTCGGCTAAGTTTACTGTCGGCTATGTTTACTGTCGGCTAAGTTTACTGTCGGTTTAGTTCACTGTCGGCTAAGTTTACTGTCGGTTTAGTTTACTGTCGTAAAAGAATTCCTGATACCGTATATTCAGTCGACATGTGAGTGTGTAGATGGCTGGATAGAGGAAAGACATATTGCTTCCATTTCTCCCTTCCCAATGCAGTGTGTCCGCTTGAATGTTCATATATCGCTCTGTCTCGTCTCGAGCCATCCGAACACTGGATTAGTCAATAGTTCAATAGTTTTAAAGTACAATGGATTCTAGTTTAGCCTATCTTTTTCAAAAGGCTGTTCCAAAAGGCCAGACCAACCCAAAGTCGGATCCGCTTCTCGGCCGATCAGATTCAAGTCTGACTTTAAATCTTGAGCCCAGGTCTGGTCTAGCTTGGCTTAGCTTAGCAAGGACTTACTGTAGTTAATATTTAAGTGATCTCTCTACCTATTGTACAGATATGTATCGGGTATCCAAAGTGATGAGTATGGGAGAATCGTCTTGTTGATCAACCCGTAGTCTCGCGGATCCCACATCAGCATCTCGTCCGTCCATTTCTACAAGTTGTTCAATGTTTATAGTTCAACTTTTGAGCTTGCACATTGTGATGAGAAAGTTATGAGAGCCTAAGCCTGAGCTCACGACCTGCTCATGCTCACAGCTCATGCTCACAGCTCATGCAAATTGTGATAGCTTAAAATTTAATACGATTTAAATTCTGTAAAAAAAAAATTGGTAATCTTTTGGCTATAAACACTTATAAAAAACAATCAAAGAGAATTTAAAAAGAACAAAAACTTTGGCCGCATTCTGTAAATCGACCGATCCCCTGTCTTTACCTGAATCATCCACACGTTCAACTTGATCGTTTGTGATGGCTCATCAACCTGAAAGCATTCAATTTACCATTGAGTTGATCATTTTAAACCTCAATAATTTGATATAAGCTCATGCTTATGTGAATCTGCATGCTCTCCGAGTGATTCATCTTGGGTCGAACTCGAATATCGTATCTAGAGTTGTTTCAAGATAGTTTTTAAGGGAAAAGCTTATTCGATTCTTTTCTGGCTTAGGTTTTAGTCTTGCTCACAATGACAGAACTAGCTGGCTTCCCTTTGCCGAAACAACCGATCTGGTGCGGACCTTGTGAGTCAAAAGCTTGTTCTACTCTTTTCTGGCTTAGGTTTTAGTCTTGCTCACAATGACAGAACTAGCTGGCTTCCCGTTTTGCTTCGAAACTAACCGCTCCGGTGCGAAGATATCCTTTGTGAGGCGCACAAGGGGCACCTCGTCTTGTGTGGTGTTGATCATCCATTTCGCCGAGGCTGAAATGCTCAATCTAATGCTTGATAAAGCTGCCGGATAAACTCAGAAAACATAACCAGGATAAGAATAGAGTTAGAAATTGTTCACTACAAACTCAAGGGTTTTTTTGACTAGCGAAAACTGACCTGTTCGTGGTTTCATCAGATCTAAAAGAAGCGATTTTTAAGTTGAAAGTTTCGGTGAATATCGACTTGGTTATGGGATTTCAAGCTTGTCCAGCTACCGTAAGCCGGTCTAGATCTGTTTTGCATCTCTTACGTAAGCTAGGTATCTTAGCTATCTTAGGTATCTTAGCTATCTTAGGTATCTTAGCTATCTTAGGTATCTTAGCTATCTTAGGTATCTTAGCTAGGTACACTGCTGACCAACTATCGTAACCCATCCAGGTATAAGGATGATTACGGTAGTAAAGACAGGCTGGGTTACGATAGCAGTTGTCTTGGGCTAAGGGTTACGGTAGCAACTGTCCTAGGCTAAGGGTTACGGTAGCAGCTGTCCTAGGCTAATGGTTACGGTAGCAGCTGTCCCAGGCTCAGGGTTACAGTAGCAACTGTCCTAGGCTAAGGGTTACGGTAGCAGTTGTCGTAGGCTAAGGGTTACGATAGCCGCTGTCCTAGGCTAATGGTTACGATAGCAGCTATCCTAGGCTCAGGCTACGGTTGTGAGCTTTAGAACGGTTAACCTAGTATTCTAAAACAGCTCCCAAGACTTTCATTTCACTAAACAATTTCGAAATTACCGTACCGGCTAAACCGGTGACAAGCGGCGGCAGAAAGGCGATGATGAGTGAGAAAATGTGGAAAAGAGACATCAATCAACCCCGACGAGAGATTCGACTCGACTCTCGCTCACTCTTTTGATCGATCAAGACATAACAAAGACAAATTGGGGATTGTGAGCGCTGAAATTTGGATTAAGCAACAATTAAACAACAAAAAGATTCATCAGTGATAATATTTCTGGTTTAAAACCAACAGAAAGACAGAAATTTCATGATTACAAGAAACGTTTTACTTGAAAAATCATTAATTGATTGATAGATTGAATATTAGATTTTTAAAAAAATACATAATTAAGACAATAATTAAGATAATAAGCGGAAAAAAGAAAAAGAAAATCACGATCGGCTACGAGATACGATTTCACAAGGCAAAAATTGTGGAGAAATTGAGTTGATTGGAGTTGATTGGGGTTGATTGGAGCTGATTTGAGTTGAGGTTACAAGATGAGTTGAGTACAAGTTCAAGATTTCATTTTAGATTTCAAGTTTTTAGATTTCAAGATTCTAGATTTCAAGTTTTCAAGTTTTCAAGATTGAAATTAACTTTAACTTTAGCTTTAGCTTTAGCTTTAAAGCTTGAAAACATTCTAGATTATTAGGGATCCTTAGACTAAGCCAATGGTAAAAGCTAGACCAAGATTTAACCTGAAACTAGCTCGAGATTGACCTGAATTGGCCCGGAATCGAAGCTTGAAAACACAAATCGAAGCTTGAAAACATTCTAGATTATTAGAGATGTTTAGGCTAAGCCAATGGTAAAAGCTAGACCAAGATTTAACCTGAAACTAGCTCGAGATTGACCTGAATTGGCCCGGAATCGAACCAAGACCATTAAAAGTGTGAATTCGATACGATTTCACTACTATACTATTTCGATATTTGATATTTCGATACTATTACTGTTTTCTATTGCAATGTCAACATTCAGCGTGATCCAGGATCGAGCCAGGATCCAGTTTGATGATCAAGAGACTTCACCAAACCTATCTTTGAATGGTTATTTTGTTTTGAATGGTTTGCACTTTGTAAAGCTCAAGCTTCACTTTGTAAAGCTCAACTTTCACTTTGTAAAACTCAACTTTCACTTTGTAAAGCTTAACTTTCACTTTCACTCCTGGCTCAATTTGGCTCACACCACAAAAGCACTGGATCGGCGTTGGCTCTCTGACCTAGACCTCTGACCTGCTTTAGAGCTGGCTTCGCTTACAGACTCTACAGACCCAGCTGGAACATTCCTTTTTAGCTCAATTCTGTAGAAAATAATGGAAAAGTAAAAGTTAATTGAGTAATAAAGCTGAACTTTCACTTTGCAAAGCTCGACTTTCACTTTTGAAAGCTCAACTTTCACTTTGTAAACCCCAAATTTCACTTTGTAAAACCCCAACTCAATCAGCTAGATTTGTAAATAGTTATCTCAGAAATCACTTAAGATATCAATGCAAGTATAGAAGAGAAACTAGAAAAGAAAAACTAGAAAAAGAAAAAGAAAAGAAAAAGAAAAGAAAAGAAAAAGAAAAGAAAAGAAACGAAAAGAAAAGAAACGAAAAGAAAAGAAAAGAAAAACTCGATCAAAAAATGAGCCACACAAATCGGATAGCTGCTAAAAGGCCTTTAACGTAAAGGATTCTTGGGGAAATCCGTAAATTCTTGGGAGATTTTATATGGGAAATATACCGTAATCTGAATAGAGCAGAAAATAGAAAACTGAGTGATTTGTTTTACTCTCTTTTCAACTGTTCTTTCAATTGGCGAGTGCGTCCAATCCTTTCGTGTACCAGTGAATGAATCCAATGATATTGATGCCAAAAGTGATGATCATAAAAGCTGAAAAGAATGAATTTCTTCGGAGAATCAATTCATTCAACTAATTGATTGATCAATAATTATTGATTGATCAACATGATCGTTTTTTCAATGATATTCCAATTACAATATAAAGTATTCTATTTAGATAAATAGAATTAGAATTCTATTTAATCTAATTCTATTTAAATAAATATAATTAGAAAAAAATAGAAAAAACCAAGGGCGGGACCGAACCCGACTGAAAGGCCTAGGTACCGACCGATGGACCGTCCCACTATCCACTAGGCCATTCGTCCCCATCTTCCTCCGGTTGAAAAGCGGTCTTTAAAGCTTATCTTAGCTTATGAACAAAATAAGCTAAGATAAGCTTTAAAGACCGCTTTTCAATCGGGGTAATATGGGGACGGATAGCCTAGTGGATAGTGGGGCGGCCCATCGGTCGGTGCCTAGGGGTTTCAGTCGGGTTCGGTCCCGCCCTTGGTTCCTTGCGCACGGGAATTTCGGCATCCTTTTTATTCCTTCTGGCAGAAATTCCCTTTTATGACACTAAATTTCTGTGAGAAAGATGAGTTTCAGTGTATCAGAAAGTTTGCGTTTACATGTTTAAATTATTGAGCAAAAAAAAGTAAACGTTTAAAGGGATACCAGTGACAAAAATGGCAAAGCAGAGACGCTCAATCACCGTCGCCAACCACTCGTACTCAGCAATGGCGTATTTGCGTAACTGGTGCTGGGCCACTGAAAAAAAACAGTTTTTGAGATTAAGAATTGAGTTTTTACAAGAGAAATTCAACTTTTAGATTCATAGATTTAAAATCTGATTACAAATTTACAGAAAAAAAAAGAAAAAGAAAAAAAGAAAAAATAAGCTTAGATAACTTATAATTCTATTTTAATCTATTCTAATCTATTCTAATCTATTCTAATCTATTCTAATCTATTCTAATCTATTCTAATTCTAGAATTTCTTGATTATTAAGGTTCTAAATGAATCTTTTCATTTCTTTTGATATTATCTTTTATCTCTAAAACATGAAGATAGGTTTTTCTTTGGCTTTAAGTACACTACTGGACAACGAATTTGAAAAAGACAATCATATTTGAAAAAAAGATCGTCACTTTCGCGCGTCTGTAACTCCCTTGTCTTTACCGTATTTCTAAATATTAATATTACCATTGTGTAGCCATTGAAAAGAGCTTTCAGAAAATGTATAACACGAATAGTTTAAACTCAAAGACAAGGGAGTTACAGACGCGCGAAAGTGACGATCGTTTCTTCAAATATCATATTTCATTGTCCAGTACTGTATGATTGATCAAACAAGTCAGCATCTATTTGAACTTATTTTGAAGGCTAATATTTGAGAATTTCCATACTGATTCCATGATTGGGTCATAAAATCCTAAGAAAATCAATAGATAAGAAGCTTAAAAGTTGAATGTAAGAAAATTATGTATATGTCGTAGCCGTTTACGAAATTCAGCCACTAACGAATCATTCGTAAACAGCTAGCGAAAAATTTCCTTCGTTAGCGGCTAGCCGTTAACGAATGATTCGTTAGCGGCTGAATTTCGTAAACGGCTACGACATACACTACTGGACAACGAAATATGATATTTGAAAAAACGATCGTCACTTTCGCGCGTCTGTAACTCCCTTGTCTTTACCGTATTTCTAAATATTAATATTACCATTGTGTAGCCCTTGAAAAGAGCTTTCAGAAAATGTATAACACTAAGAGTTTAAACTCAAAGACAAGGGAGTGACAGACGCGCGAAAGTGACGATCGTTTCTTCAAATATCATATTTCATTGTCCAGTACTGTATGTCTAAACTGGTTTAAAACCAAACCAAGTCAAAATCTCGCTTTTTGGATTTGACTGCTTTGCTTAGACTTTGGCTGAGTATGATCGTGAGCTACTTCATTCATAAAGTCTCATTGAGCCTTTCATAGCCTTTCTTTTTTTTGTTTATAATCAATATTCAACCTGACCTTCATTTCGGAAAGGATTATTTGGATTCGTGCGCATTTTTGGGGTTTTCGCTGACGGTTGCATTGACGGCGCATCGCTGGCAATTGACACTAAAAGAAAGTACGAAAATTTCGTTTGTTACATGAAGAAATTTGTGAGTGTGATCGTGAGCTACTTCATTCATAAAATCTCAATTCATTCAATAGAAAGCATTCAATGGAAATCATTCAATGGAAATCATTCAATAGAATTCATTCAATGGACTTCATTCAATAGAAATCATTCAATGAAAATCATTCATACAGTCTCAAACATGCTTTTTTTCGAATCCAAACTCTAGTTGATTTCTAGAAAGCCTTCTAGAAAGCCTTCTAGTTCTAGAAAGCCTTCTAGAAAGCCTTCAAGAAAGCATGCGAAATCTCAACGGGGAAATCCATTCTCAGATTTTAGCTTTCTTTTCTTCACTTACACCAATCTTCGTAGTACAATAGAAAGAGAGGATTATCGAGAATGTCAAGGTCAAAGTCTAAACACCAAAGAAATATTTGTTTAAGTCAAAAAGTTAGAGCACTGTACTTTGTGCTTTATCCTTTGCAAAAGCGCTTCCTCTGGTACACTTTAGCATCAATCCATAACTTTAAATGTGCCAAAAGGTTGCGTTTGCGTTTAAGCACAAAGTACAGAGTAATGTTGTAGATTTAAAATCAAAGCTGTAGCATAAGTTGTAGCTCAGTTGTAGCTTAAGTTGTAGCTTAAGTTGTAGCTTAAGTTGTAGCTTGAGTTGTAGCTTAAGTTGTAGCTTGAGTTGTAGCTTAAGTTGTAGCTTAAGTTGTAGCTTGAGTTGTAGCTTAAGTTGTAGCTTAAGTTGTAGCTTGAGTTGTAGCTTAAGTTGTAGTTTAAGTTATAGCTTAAGAAGTTTAAGAAGTTTTTGATCAATTTATTCCTTCAAAGGATAGCAATTTGTAAATCTAATTTTCTTATTTATAAAGATAAAAGTTTTCTAGACAAATCATCAAAACAAACCATCAATCGAAGCATTATCTCCGTCAAGATTCAATGAAGTCGGCGGTGGCGGTCGCACAGTTGGCGTATGCAAGCCAGACGTGACCACTTCTTCAGCTAAAAAATAGATCAATAAGAAAATGAAATTTTTTTTTAGTAACTTTCACCAAAAGCTTTCTTTTCCTTTCCGTTTTCTTTTCCTTTCCACTTTCTTTTCCTATCCACTTTCTTTTCCTTTCCACTTTCTTTTTCTTTCCACTTTCTTTTCCTTTCCACTTTCTTTTCCTTTCCGTTTTCTTTTCCTATCCACTTTCTTTCCGTTTTCTTTTCCTATCCACTTTCTTTTCCTTTTCGACTACCATATTGCCGTGTTTTAAGAATTCATGACTTCGCCGATGAAACAAAAAAGAAATTTTGCATTTCCATAAAATGAAAAAGATCGCAAAGGCACAAAAACAAAGAAAGAAGGGAAAATGGAAATTAGTAGAAAAGAATTTGGGTTTTTTTAAAGAAATTAACATGAGTAACTGAAATAAGCAGTTCTCGAGATTTCGAGGAATTTAGGCGACACTCTGGGTGCTCTGGGCGACGCTTTTGCAGAAGCTCAACACTCTAATCACCATCAAGATCTCATCGTCAGCTACATTTTCCGACCCCACATCAATAGATTCTGATAAGCGGTTCTCGAGATTTTGAGGAATTTAGGCGACCCTCTGGGTGCACTACTATTAGAAAAAATACGGTAACTGAAATCGATATGCGATCGCTTTTTCATTAAATGCACAAAATCTGCTACAACTTATTGCACTACAAATTGCTATTTTCGAATTAAACCCTACAATTGTCATGGTGGGTAAAAATCGATTTAAAAACTCACTCGTGTTGTTTGAGGGACTTGTGTGAATGAGCGGCTCTTGACTCTTCTCCTTTTCTTGGCCACTCGCCGGACCGCCATTCTTCTTGCCTTTCTTTTCTTTGTTCTAAAAAAAATGATAAAAATAGATTTTAATATTAAATTGAAGAACTTAACAAGAAGAAATAGCTAAAAGGTTTAGCTAAAAGCTTAAGCTAAAAGCTTTATCTAAAAGGTTTAATTAAAAGGTTTAACTAAAAGGTTTAACTAAAAGGTTTAACTAAAAGGTTTAACTAAAAGGTTTAACTAAAAGCTTTAACTAAAAGGTTTAACTAAAAGCTTTAGCTAAAAGTTAGCCAGTAAAACTTTTCAAGCTCTTTTTTTTCATCAATTTCCTTACCTTTTCTACTTTTATTGGTGCCATACTTGCTGACGGTGAATCAAACATTTCAGTCTGAAAAAAAACGTATTTCAAATCTCGTTTCCACTTTCAAAAAACAGAAGCCAGATTTTGAATTAATGATGATTTGGAAACACGAAAGATTAGGCGTTATTTTGTTTGCGATTTTTCAATTCAAAATAGCCAGGAAACGAGCAGAGTATGTACTTTGTGCTTCTCGAAAACGCGCGCTTTCTAGCACATCAAATTGTCACCTAATGTTAATCGAGTGTGCCAGAATGCTGTGCGTTTGATAGAGCACAAAGTATTGAAGATTTTTTGGCAACACTTTGACAGAGAGGAAAGGGACAAAGGAACTAGAGAGGGTCAAGCTGCGTTCAACTCGATAAAACTTGGTACTGTTAGCAATCAAGATTGGAAACAAATAGAGATACCGTACCCAAGCTTCTTTAGATCTTTACATCTTTACATCTTTAGATATTTAGATATTTAGATCTTTAGATCTTTAGATCTTTACATCTTTAGATCTTTAAATCTTTAGATCTTTAGATCTTTAGATCTTTAAATCTTTAGATCTTTAAATCCTTAGATCTTTAGATCTTTAGATCTTTAAATCCTTAGATCTTTCGATCTTTAGATCTTTAGATCTTTAGATCTTTAAAGCTTTAGATCTTTAGATCTTTAGATCTTCGATCTTTAGATCTTTAAAGCTTTAGATCTTTAAAGCTTTAGAGCTTTAGATCTTTAAATCTTTAGATTTTTAGATCTTTAGATCTTTAAATCATTAGATCTTTAGATCTTTAGATTTTTAGATCTTTAAAGCTTTAGATCTTTGGATCTTTAAATCTTTAGATCTTTAAATCTTTAGATCTTTATATATCGAAATCTATAGAAATTAAAATCAAATCGACTCTTGAACGCTGCTTGACTGAGTTTTCGCATTCGGACTCAATTCTTTTTCAACACACTTACCCCAAAATAATAGGTTTTCTCGGCCTAGAGAGATTAGAATTAGAATTTATTCAATTCCTTTCACTCACCATCATTTCTTCTTTCCGAATATGTGATGGAACGGGCACACAAGTGATATAAGCCAAACATTTACCGAATCTGAAAGCAAAGAGTTTCATACGACTTGATAGATTTGATACACTAGCTTCCCAAGCTTCAACTTCATCTCTAATTTGTTGTTTCATATAAAATATTGAAGCCCGTAATCTTAGCTAAATTTGTTCTCTTAAATGTTTCCCAATTGGAGCTGTAAAACTCATTTTACAAGCCTTAGAATTACTAGTTGATCTTTCTCCAGTGCTTTCATTTTTAGCATCCTTTATTAAAAAAAATTGTTAGAAAAAGTATTTCTTTTATTTTAAAACATTATTTAACACGATTTAATAATCTTAAGAACTGTTTTTGATTAACTAAGAACTGTTTTTGCTCAAGTTTGACTTGAAATCAAATTGAAATCAAATGAAAGCTTGATTTGAAATCAAGCTGGAAGTGTTCAATTCATTCGGTGGAAGTGTTCAGTCCATCCTTTGGTGGAAGTGTTCAGTTCATTTAAGACCTTGTAAAATGTGTTGTCTATCTCCAATTGAAAAACTTTTAATAGCAAAATGTAGCCAAGATTAAGGGCTTCAATATTTTATATAATACTTAACAAATTAGAGTTAAGCTTGACACTTGGGAGCTAATCGAAAGTCTAAAATCTAAGATCTAAAGTCGTCCTAAATACTGAACACTCTGTAGATTATGTAGCGGTATTTAGAATGAAAGTTTCGAACAAACTTTAGTGCTCCTTTGCCAAGCCTTTCCCCAAGTCGTCCCCTCTTTTGCACGGCGATGATAACAGTGGAGGCGATCGTTCCCAAAGAGATCACCATGATCATCATCAAGATGAACCAACCTGAAACAATTATTAAGCTTTAACAGGCTTTAAGCTTTAAGATCACTTCTTAAAGCTTTAACATCACTTCTTAAAGCTTTAGCATCACTTCTTAAAGCTTTAAGATCACTTCTTAAAGCTTTAACATCACCTTAAAGCTTTAAGATCACTTCTTAAAGCTTTAACAGCCTTAAAGCTTTAAGATCACTTCTTCAGGCTTTAGGATCACTTCTTTACAAAAAAAGAAACAAACCAATGAGCGGGATGAAGGTCGAAGTGGTGGGCATTTGATCAGAAACCATTAACATCAAGATGGACATCGAGAGAAGGGTCGTGATTCCAAGAGAGACTTTCTCCTCTCGTGTCCCTGACGCGGATGAGGTGCTGAATTGGGTATTGTTTAGCAAAAGTTTGCAGTGTTTTCTCAAAAGCTAAAGCCTATATCTAAACAAGATAATTGCCATTTTAAAAAAAACAAATTCTGCTATTTTATTGAGCAGGCTCTGAGCCTGAGCAGGATTCCTTTCTCCAAAAGAATTTCTCCAAAAATTCTTTGACTTTGACAATGGCGAAACCAGTTTTCGACCTAGAGGAGTTTTCTTTAAAAACTAATAACGAATTCGAATTCCTTATCCTTGAGAAACCCTTGATTGCAAATTTTTATCTAAATCAGCCTCAAAAAATGTTAAATCTATCGGTGAGCTGGATTACAAATGTCTTCGTTTTTTCGTTCATTCGAATGAGTTTTTGTAGGCTATAGATTGAATATAAATTGATTTGCATATCAAGTATGTACTTGTTCAAACAAAAAGAGTACTGTAGCAAGTACTTGTGTCATCACTCACGTAAAGAATCCGACCAAGGCGATCAGCGTGATGATTGAGGTGGGAATGATGAGATTCACCAGGTAGAACAAGGGTTTTCTCCTGGAAATCGCAAAGTTTAAGTCTTGAACAAGAGCTTTAACTGGAGCTTTAACAAGAGCTTTAACTAGAGCTTTAACTAGATCTTGAACAAGGTCTTTAACAGGATCTTTCACAAGATCTTTCACAAGATCTTTCACAAGATCTTTAACTAGATCTTTAACAAGATCTTTAACAAGATCTTTAACTAGATCTTTAACAAGAGCTTTAACAAGATCTTTAACAACACTTTAACAAGATCTTGTTGAAATCAATGAATCACAAGCAAGTTAAGCATCTACCTCAAATGCAGTGTCAACTCGAGCAGGGTGTACTTGTTCGGGCAACACGAGTACTTCACTTCTTTACGGACGACTAAATGACTACTGTATCGTTGATGGAAATTTTTGAGCTAACTTTTCGTGCTCATTATATACCAGCCCTCATTCTCCAAGTAGTTGCTTGTACCGATTCTCTCGGAATACGGAAAATAGTCGATTCCCTTTTGATCGTATGTCCACGAGGAGAACAACATTGTGCATACCTAAAAGAGTAAAGTAACTGATTTCTTTAACATCATTGCCTTATTGCTAAATGGAAGAGTTAAAAACCTTTGGTTGGTTAAAAGAAATGCCTTTTAACAGTTTAAAAACTGAAAGATTGCAGTAACCAGTACGAATTTTGATCTGCAACAAGCTTGAAAAAAGCATAAGTTTTGGTTCTTTCTTTTGCGCAGACAGACAGCCAGCTCCAGAGCCAGCAGACATTGGCTAGGTTATAACTAACAAAAACATCACAACATACAACTTACCTGATTATCAAAGGGGAAGAATCTGGAAAAGATAAACGTTTAGATAGCAAAGAAAATAAAGTACCTCAAATTGAGCAAACAGGAGAACTTGTAGATGGTCGGATAGAGCAATTCGATCAACGAGGCTTTTCTCTTTCGATCCGTTGTCAACTTGGCGTTCAGCAGCCGCCTTGTGTCATCGTCTTTCATCACCAAACTGAAGAAAATCGCTTTTTGAAAGCCATTCTGACACATTCATATCAGGTTTTCCTGGCCAGGCCAGAGCACGGCCAATAGCCAGCTCCAGAGCCAGCTCCAATAGCCAGCATCAATAGTCAGCTCCAATAGCCAGCTTCAACAGCCAGAACATGACTTTTGACACCTAGCTTACAGACTTACAGCTTTTTATTTGTAACTTGTAACTTGTAAGCTTTTTTGTCACTTAATTAAGCTCCTATTTGATAAGAAATCAAGCTGTGAATTAAATTAAATCAAAATTAGAGAAAAGACTATGGTAGACTTTCCAAATTAGCCACCATTTAGAAAGCGAATCATTTGAGTATCTGGTGGCCAAATGGCACGAGCCATATACTGGCCGACACGGAATTTCACGCTGATTCCGAAGCTGCTTTCCGCTTCTTCTATAAAGCACTCTGTCAAAAGTTATAAGCTAGTAAATTTTGGCTTCGATAATCGAGGCATGAGTTCATAAGCAGATTCCCTAGGGGGATCGCGGCGTCGTGGTGGCCGACTGGTAGTGGGTTTGAATACAAAGCGAGGGCTTCGAGTCGGCGGGGTTCGAGTCGGCAGTTCACTTTTTTCGTTTATTTTTTTGAGATTTGAATAGTTTAGATGATCTTTGTACGCGCGTACAATCGTACTTTCAACTTTTCATCTTGCTCTTTCAAATACAAATACAATTAAACGAAACCTATTGTAAAGAGTCGTATCGGGTAGCCAAATCGAGTCATGCGGGAGTCGAATCTCGGTGATATTTCCATAGTCTTCAGGTTCCCAGAAAAGAAACTCGTCGTACCATCGCTAAAAGCGGAAATTGCCTTTAAACTCGATTTATTCTTACCTCAATAATCCAAGCATTCAATAAAATGAATTGTTGGGGTTCATTCTAAAACTTTTGTTCTCTAAAAGAAAGCTTTTTTTTTTATTTGTCCTAACCAGTTCCAAAATCTGATACAAATCCATCGAAAAGGAGACATTGATGGGTGAATTGTTGTCCCAGACAGGTTTTGCTGTAAAAAGAATAACATATTTTTTTTTCTAATAAGAATTAGCTCTTGCGTAGTTTTCGAGGATTTTCAACGGGTCGTCACGCTTTGAAAGCCTAGAACTTTATCTAGAGACAATATTATTACTAACTTTTTATATCATTTTACAGAGGACATTTCAGGCTTTCAAATGATACCAAATATAACTTGATTAGACAATCCAGTCCAAGAAAATCAGAGCCAACTCTAAGCAAATGAGGCCTATCAAACTCGGGTATCGTGTCGCCTTGTTTGTATGGGAATGAAAAATCCAATCAAGCTCTATTTGGTATCATTTAAAAGCCTAAAATATTCTCTGTAAAATGATATAAAAAGTTATATTGTCTATTGTCTCTGGATAAAGTTATAAGCCTTCAAAGCATGACGACTCGTTCAAAATACCCGAATTTGTCCAAAATATTAGAATTCTTTTAAAATACCCAGAAACTACGCAAAAACCGAAATTTCTTTGCTAAAAACAGTGCCAAATGAGCTGTACGGTATATTCTTTCAGATATTTTTCAGATTTTTCAAACAAAAACCTTTCTTGTCGTATTTGTCGAGCAAGTCGTGGACAAGAGCGATCTGTGATGGAGTGGCCGCCGTCAGAGCACATAGTTGAGCTGAAATTTTCACTTCTTATGCATCAGGCATATCTTTTTTTTCTTTAATTACTTTAACAATGTTGATTTCCCGCTCAATTACCATTAGAAATTGATCATTCACTTTGAGTTTTCGCTCGAAATTGCTTTTCAGCAATAGTACACTATTTCCTCCAGCAAATATGTCGGGTTCGACGAATTCTTCTATTTTTTTCTTCTATTTTCTCAAGCAACATTTCCGCCGCTAGCAATAGTACACTATTTCCACATTCATATCAGGTTTTCCTGACCAGGCCAGAGCACGGCCAATAGCCAGTTCCAATAGCCAGCTTCAATAGCCAGCTTCAATAGCCAGTTTCAATAGCCAGCTCCAATAGCCAGCTTCAATAGCCAGCTTCAATAGCCAGCTTCAATAGCCAGCTTCAATAGCCAGCTTCAATAGCCAGCTTCAATAGCCAGCTCCAATAGCCAGCTCCAATAGCCAGCTTCAATAGCCAGCTTCAATAGCCAGCTTCAATAGCCAGACGAAAGTTGACGATTAAATGGCGGAAATTTTGCTTGAGAAAATACAAGAATTCGTCGAATCCGAAATGCAAATTCAATACAAATTAATACAAATTCAATGCAAATTTTTGGAGGATATAACCAAATTGTACCCAATAACCTTTCTCAGTTCTTCAGCTTCGCTAATAAATTAGGATTTCAAAAGTTCCTTGAAAAAGCATATTCAGTACATGTAATTTGGTGAGCTGAAAAGAAAATTTGCATAAATTTGCATAAATTTACATGTTTTTGAGTCCAACAAAGTTACAAAGTACGTTATAGTCTACATTTGAGCTTTGATTGGCCAACAACATGCCAATTTTGTCTTATTTTAAACCCACTAGCGTCATATGTACCGCGAATTTCTTCTCAAGTATGTAAAAGTCAACGAAGAAGAAAGAAATTTGCATAAAAATGTTGAAGTTAGTCAAAAAAAAAGAGATGCAAGAGAGTAGAAATAGTTGGAACTAGGGGAGATCAGAAAAATTGTGCACTTGCGCACATGTCTAACCGACAAGTACCGGTAGTTTTCTCAAAGATATGCCACAGGGTGGCGCAGGATTATGGCGACACCTTTTTTTTGGAAAAGTTGCTGATAAAAGCCTGACCGATCATAAGTTGTCAGTTTCTTGCTTAACCGAGATGAGTGGATGTCTGTGGATGTCTATGGATGTCTATGGATGTCTATGGATGTCTATGGATGTCTATGGATGTCTGTAGATGTCTGTGGACGTCTGTGGACGTCTATGGATGTCTATGGATGTCTGTGGATGTCTGTGGATGTCTGTGGATGTCTGTGGATGTCTGTGGATGTCTGTGGATGTCTGTGGATGGCTGTGAATGTCTGTGAATGTCTGTGGATGTCTGTGGATGTCTGCGGATGTCTGTGAATGTCTGTGAATGTCTGTGGATGTCTGTGGATGTCTGCGGATTCTGTGAATGTCTGTGAATGTCTGTGGATGTCTGTGGATGTCTGCGGATTCTGTGGATGTATAACCAACAAGTACCCAATCTTTTAATATAAGATTATCTTAAATCTTTTTGGAAGATCTTTTTGCAAGATCTTTTTAGAAGACCTTTTTCAAAATATCTATACTTTAAAACAAGAATCACTAACAATAAAAGCTTAACAGAAATCAAAGAAAATCAAACGAAAATATTTCCGATTTTAGCGCCATTTTTTTTTTCGTGCCGATTGAATGAGGCATTTAAGTGAGAGAAATGGACAACAATTGAACTTTAAGAAAGAACTTTAAGAAAGAACTTTAGAAGGAGAAGCAGACTCGCTTTTTTTAGATAATTCAACCTTAGAAAGCAACAAAAAGGTTTTCTTTTTCTTATTGCTCACCTGCAACAAATGCTGACAAAAATCGACCCAAAGTACCGTCCATTCTATCGAAAATTGATTTCACTTTTCTTCTACAAATTCTCTTTCGACATTCGCCGCATTCTCTGTAAATGCCTGAAAGTTTTGAAGATTTTGCTTAATTTTTAAATAGATAAGAAATTGAGAAATGCATCAATGACATATGGAAATCGATTTTAAACTGAAAATCAGTGAAAAATAGAGTCAGTGTTGTTAAGTTCAAGGATTTGTATGACTTCTGACTGTAATTTGTAAGCAAGAACTTTGTAAGTTGAAGCTTTGTGAGTTGTAAGCTTTGTAAGATGTAAGCTTTTTAAGTTGAAGCTTTGTGAGTTGTAAGCTTTGTAAGTTGTAAGCTTTGTAAGTCGTAAGCTTTGTAATTGTAATTTGAAGCTTTGTAAGTTGCAAAGCACAAAAAATAGGTAATTTAAAGCTAACTTTTATAAGTTTAATTGGCCCTAAATAGATAAGAAATTGAGAAATTCATCAATGACAAATGAAAATCGATTTTAAACTGAAAATTAGTTAAAAATAGAGCTTTTATAAGCTAAAATGAAGCTTTTTAAAGCGAAAACTTTAAAAAAAGAGTATTTTTAGAGTAAACAAGTATTCTTTGAGATAAGCTAGTCGCAGAATTTGAAAGAACACTTAAGTGAAACGGAAAACTGAACAAAAAATGAAAGGCTTGAGTAAAAGTAAAGAGTTACTTGAAAGCTAAGCGATGGTGTGATTTACATTTACAAAAACTGATACTTTATATTCATTTATCATTGGTTCATTTAATTAAACGATATTCGTTTATAAAGTTTCAGTTTTTGGCTTGTTTTTCCATTTTAATGGTCAAATATCAACATTTCATTATTAAAGTCGATTATTTAGATCAATTTGATTGCTACGCTACGAGTAAACGAGTAGATCAATTTGATTGCTACGCTACGAGTAAATGAGTAGATCAATTTGATTGCTACGCTACGAGTAAATGAGTAGATCCATTTGACTGCTACGCTACGAGTAAATGAGTAGATCAATTTGATTGCTACGCTACGAGTAAACGGCTACGTACGACATACACTACTGGACAATGAAATATGATATATTTGAAAAACGATCGTCACTTTCGCGCGTCTGTAACTCTCTTGTCTTTACCGTATTTCTAAATATTAATATTACCATTGTGTAGCCATTGAAAAGAGCTTTCAGAAAATGTATAACACGAATAGTTTAAACTCAAAGACAAGGGAGTTACAGACGCGCGAAAGTGACGATCGTTTCTTCAAATATCATATTGCATTGTCCAGTACTGTAGATCTTTGATTTCAAATAAAAAAGTAAGATCAGGCAAAAAGATAATAGCAAATGTAAATTTCAAGCTTTAACAGTGTCAGCACTTCAGAATGGGATTGAAAAAAAGAAATGGATAAAGAAATAGATTTGATTGTGATAGATTTGATATATTTGATTGTGATAGATGAGAAATATTTTGATTTTGAAAGATTTGATTTAAGAAAAGTCACAACTATATAATATTGTTAAAAAATGATCATTCGAGACGAATGAGATGAAAAACTTTGTAAAAAAGAGCACTAGAAATTGGATGAATAGATATTTCTCTTTGTAAAGCTTTCTTAAGTGCATTGCAAACGTGCCTCTTTGGCTGAGAGGTAGTGCTCTCCGTTACAAAGCTTCAAACCCGGGTTTGATTGCATCAACTTCAAACCCGGGTTTGATTGCATCGACTTCATCGAATTCGACTTCATCCATGGAACCCGGGTTTGAAGTTGATGAAATCAAATCTGGATTTGAAGCTTTGTAACAGCCCACTACCTCTCAGCCAAAGAGGCACGTTTTGCAATGCACTTAAGAAAGCTTTACAAAGAGAAATATCCATTCATCAAATGCAATGCAATGCAGAAAGCTTTACAAATAGAAATAGTTAAATTTCAAGCTTTCAGCTAAATTTCTTTTGTTTACAAGTAAAACTAAAAGGAGATTCGGAAAGTCTGAAGATAAAATAGTTTTGTTTTCAAATTCTGCCTTAAATTCTTAAATTCTTAAGAAAATCTTCAGTTCGCTAAGTGCAAAAGTTTTAAATCCGTGGATTTTATATCTATGTAAATTTGAGAAATTGACAAAACAGGAAGGATGAAGTTCAGTGGTGTTCAATGGTGTTTCTAGCTGCTCAGAAGGGCACCGCTTGCGCTGGAGCCGAATTCAAGCGCCTCACATATTCATGGTCAATCGGGGAGGGGCAAAAGGCTGGCCCTAAAGGCTTTCAGTGTCCCCTGATTGTCCTTTTGCTTTTCATCTTTTCATCTCGGACTAAAAAGAGAGATGTCCATTTGAGGGAGATTTTCTCTCTCTCTCTTTCTCTTCCTCTTTCTCTTCTCTCTTCCTCTCTCTCTCTCTCTTCCTCTTCCTCTCTTTCTCTTCCTCTCTCTCTCTCTTCCTCTCTCTCTCCACCTCTCTCTCTTCCTCTTTTTCCCTTTTTACCTATGTTCAATCATTCTGTGCATTCTGCGGTAAAAATCGGGCTTTTTTAAAATGCAAACTCTGCCGATTTGATTCCAATACATTTCTAAGTGTTTTTTTTTCATTTTCAGGTAGATCAACCTTTTGCTGATACGGTGAATATCAAAAATCAACGAAAAAGGAAGTAAATATACGGAGAAAGGTAGAGAGAATGGTTAAATTTGTAAAAAATCATTGGGAAAACCCTTTCCTAACTAAACTTTGAGCTATCTAAGAAAGCTAAGAAGCTATTCAAGCTTTAAAAGCTTTGAACTTCTTGTTCACAAGCAAGATTAGCAAGATTTTGCTCAAAAAGCAATAGGAATTAAAGCTATGAAATAGAATTGAAAATAAACTGAATAAGATTATAGATTTACAAACAAGTTAGATATTAGAGATTCTACAGCAAGCACAATATAGAATGCGGTAGCTTAATGCCTTAACCACTAGTTAGATATTAGAGATGAGATTCTACAGCAAGCACAATATAGAATGCGGTAGCTTAATGCCTTAACCACTAGTTAAATATTAGAGATTCTACAGCAAGCTCAACGTAGAATGCGGTAGCTTAACGCCTTAACCACTAGTTAAATATTAGAGCTTCTACAGTAAGCTCAATGCTCAATTCTTCAAGTAAATTTTTGCAAAAATCGGTCGATCAGAGAGTAAAGTGACGCGAGTGGGGGGAATTTTTCGAGCTTGAAAGCACAAGACTGGCTCGAAATTTGACCGCCAACAAAATACCCAATCAAGCCAATCCAAAATAGCAAAAAAAAGACAAAGAGGAGAAGTAATCTAATCGTGAAACAATTGAATGGGCAAATAAAGGTCGAAAATCTGCGACTGCAGAATTTTCAGTCTACAGCGATTTTAGCAGATTTTCATTTCAGCAGATTTCAGCAGATTTTCATTTCGGATTCCTCATACCCGATCCTCAATACCGTAATCCAGCTAATGCAGACTGAATACCTTATTCTAGACTGAATACCTTATTCTAGACGGAATACCTTATTCTAGACTGAATACCTTATTCTAGACTGAATACCTTAAGCTAGACTAAGTACCGTGATCCAGCTAATCTAGACGGAATACCTTATTCTAGACTAAATACCGGAATCCAGCTAATGAGGAATCTTCTTATAGAATCCGACAAATTTAAGGTACTCTCCCCAAAAAATCGGAAAGGACTTTTCCATCAACCCAATATAAGTAAAGTAAAGATCCCCGGACACCCTCTAAGCCCAAGAAAAATGGTTTTAAAGTTGACTGAAAATGGTATTTTCGCAAATTTTAGCAGATTGGCTTCCTCTATACATATAAAAGATAAAACAAACAAAAAAAAGTGTTAGAAAATGTTTTTAAAAAACGAAAAACTAAAAAGAAAAGTTGCACCGAAGCAGGGATTCAAAAATTTGACCATAGAGCATTTGACCATAGAGCATTTGACCATAGAGCATTTGACCATAGAGCATTTGACCATAGAGCATTTGACCATTTGACCATACCATAGAGCACTACCATTACACCATTTGGTCACTATTTGTCTATCCCTAAACTTTCCTCCTTAAAGGCGGTCTTCTTTGAGCAAATATTTTTAGTCATTTTTTAGTCAACTTTAAAACCATTTTTCTTTGAGCTTAGAAAGGTGTCCGGGGGTAGATTTGAGTACAGATTCGGAAACAAAAAAAAACTCGTCTAGAGATGTTAGGAGAACGTTTTAAAAGCTGATTTTATGTTGACGTATGTTCCTTGTAAGATTTGCCTTTTAAATAAAGATTCGATGAGATCGACATCTCAAAAACAAAAGTTTTAAGCTTCAAAAGTTTCAAGCAAAAGTTTTTCAAGCAATTCAGAGCATTCAGCTCACAAAATAGACAAAATAAGAAAAAAAATTCTTTGGAATTCCTGAAAGATCAGCAATTCTATCAATGAATTTTCCAATTCTGCTAATTTTGCGTTTCCAGAATGCCAATTCTGCTAATTTTGCGTTTTGCTAAAATCTAGAATGCTAAATCCAGAAAATCGCTAAATTTCTTCTCAAGAAGCAAGCTTCCGAGCAATGTCCGAGCGCTATTGAGATCCCCTCTCATTCATGGAGAGGAGGCAAAAAAAGGCGAACCAATCCGGGTAAGTGCTCTCCACACTTATTTCCTTTATTTCCTTTATTTCCCTTCCCTAAAATCCCCGAACTCTCACATTTTCTTTGCCTTTTCTACATCTAATCAAATTGAACACCTGGAAAATCTTGGTAAAAGAAATTTCCACTCAAATTTCCACTCAAATTTCTCCTCAAATTTCCACTCAAATCTTCTTCCTACTTCTTGAAAAAAACAAATGTATTGTTGTTTTTATTGTCATGCTTTCGGTAATTGAATTTTGGAGAAGTTGAAAACAAGATCAATGAGTAGAAAATGAGAATTTCTTGTTTAAAAAAGTATTTTTAGATCTTTTTTGTAGGGTAAGGCTTGGAATGGAATGGAATGGACAAAAATTTCACAAAAAATTTAAACCCAAACG